GGACACTGACACATCTCTCTCTTCTCCAGACATGATTCCTATGGCAATCAATTCTCCACTCAAGGCACATCCTCGGGCAGCCCCTTCCCCAGCCAGCAAACCACCATGTATCAGCAGCAGCAGCAGGTGGGTGATCCAGGGATCCCAGCTGGCTCAACTGGGAGTTCTACCTGGGCTCTTTGTGAAGAGGGGAAGATGGAAACTCTCAGGGCTGTGCTTTTGCTTTATGAATGTGAAGAACTGGGTACCTCATCACGGAATCGCACAGAGGCTTGGGTAAAGGGACCTTAAAGCCCATCCAGGGCCACCCCCTGCCATGGGCAGGGACAACTTCCCAGGGAGCTCCAAGCCCTGTCCAGCCTGATCTTGAGAACAATTGTAAAACACATTCCCAGTGCTGTGTTAACAAAACAGTGTTCTGAGAACGGAGGTTGTGTGGTTTGCATGCTCTGGTCAGGTAGCAGAAGGTCAGGGAGCTTTATTGGGCTTCTCTGTCCCTCTGGAACTTTGGGAATCCCATCCTGTTTCTGTAACACTTTTGGTCCAAGTGATGACTTTCTTTGGATAAGTCCTGGATCATTCAGGTGGATCGTTCTACACAAACCAGGGGATTGTTTTGGTCCTTTCCCATCCTGCAGCCAAAGGCTTCAGACTCCATGGCCCTGCTGCCTCCTCCTCCTCCTTGCTGTTCCCAAACCCATCAGGTTTGTTTCAGGACAGTTTGAATGAACGTGGATCCCTTCCCATAATCCTCACATACGACTTGCTCTTTGTATCCATGCCAGGACCCATAATGTTTTCCTGATAATTTTAAGTCCTATGGTTTAGGAGAGTATAGAGAGGGCACTCACTGAGCTGTGCTAAGAATAATTCCAACTGCTCTGCAGTTTGGCTCTGCAACCAGAGCCACGGGGCTCGGAGCCAAGAGTTCGAGTTACTCTGGAACTTGTCATCTTTGAAGCCCTAGAGCTCCATCTGAAGCCAGTTACGACCGTGGAGTGTCTGAATAGCCTCCACAGCAGCTACAGCTCAGACCTTGGAGGCAAGAGAGAGCCTGGATTTTAATTTGGGCAGCAGTTGGCTGTTTTCTCCGTTTGCACTTTAAAGAATTGGGGGTGAGAAGCCTTCTTGCTCCTTTCAGCAAAGTGTTTTGAAATCCACAGGAAGGGAAGAAGCAGGAAGTACAGCAGTTTTTAATGCATTTTGTCTGGTACTTGAGCAGAAACCTGGGAAATGAGAGAAATAGGGTCTGATAAAATTCCTGGATGTGGAAGGAAGCAAGTGCCAGTGTCTGCTCTGGTTTGTGGTGAATGCAGAGTAGAGCTGAGCCTTTTCTGCAGGAAAGTCCTTTCTGTGGGCAGAGTCCTGCCCCCGAGGCATCCTTGTGGAATCCACAGGGAGCCTCCCCAGGCAGCCACAAGGAATTGGCCGTGGCTTGTGAAATGGAACAACTGATCCAACTTTCACATTGGGTACGGCCAGCAAGGAGACAGAGCCCTTCCCAGGCCGTGCCGTGGGGCAGATCCTCTGGCTCTGGGGACTCTGCCCAGGGGTTTGGCTTTTTGCTTCATGGAATCAGTGAGGGTGGAAAAGACCTCTGGGATCAGTGAGTCCAAGGTGTGACCGATCACCACGACATCGCCCAGGGCAGAGCACTGAGAGCCAGAGCTCCAGGGATGGTGATGGCACCACCTCCCTGTGCAGCCCCTTGCAGAGCAACAATCCCGAATTCCCACTCACCCAAGCTCGTCTGTGCCTTTCTGTCCCCGCAGAACTACAAGCGGCCGATGGACGGCAGCTACGGACTGCCCGCCAAGCGGCACGAGGGC